TCAGTCACCTCAGTTCCCCGTGACGGGAATTAAAAACCAATTAAAATTAAACGCGATAAAAACCACAAAAGTAGTTTTAATCAATCATAAACGTGGTTAATTGTAAAATTAGAAGATTATTTATCTTCTTTCTCAAGCCCGTAAGAGTCTCATGGATCTCTCCCCAGAAAATATTTACCAAAATCACCATGTTTGGCTGGCAGATTGGCGTTGCTTCCCGTGACTGTTCTGCGAATTAACATCTATCGTTAGTGTATTGTATGGCGTCATCTATCTGAGACTACAAGATCTATCTGGCACATCTCATAGTCACCGAAGCAAGTAGAAAAGCCGATATGAAGTGATGATTCTATATTCACGCATAAGTTTTTTATTGGGCAGAGTGCACCATTAGAGAATGTGCCGTTCTCGCTTTTCCCGACCCGTCTGAGCAAAGCTGCCTGTAGCTACATTATGATTAAAACAGGCATGGGTAGACTCGACTGAGGCCTTGTCTCACTTCTGAGAGGGTTTTAAGACAAGAAAGTGTCCGCTGCGCTGCGCCGATGCGTGTTGGCGAACTTCACAAAAGACAAGTGACAGAAATGAAATATTTTCTTATTTCTCAGACATGCCGATATCCTCACGATTTTTCCTTTCACTGGCAAGCACGTGGTAAATCAGCACTTAAAATTGCAATTAACAATTTCCTTGGTGCCGGCGGGGATCGAACCCGGGATTGCTCGCGGACTGTGAAATTTACAGCGAACGCTAACCATCTAAGCTACCACGGCTCCTCTGAGCCACCAAGCCTCCTCTGAGCTACAGAGTACCAGCGTAAAATGCAGTTTAATGTTGCTGTATTTCCAGACCGGAATAGTAACAGTATACCATAGTAGTTCTCAAGTGTTGAGGGGTGACAACGCATCTGAATTTTGATTCATTACCGAGGAATGATGTGTGTTTAGGGGTCACAGCATTTGTCTGACATTAGGTGGACTGTGTGCTCGTTTTTCAGCTTAAGCCGTATGAAAATAATTGCCATGCTAATATATGATGTCAGAGTTGCGTGATGTCGATCATTTATTTATTTACTTATTTATTTTATTTATTTATTTATTTAATAGATACACCATTGGCTTATCACTAGACATTGTTAAATATAACACAATTGGTTTTGTTCAAAATGATTCGCCTTTAAAGGTATATACAACATTCACAAAAATAGTGCAGCTACAATAAGACAGTTGTTATCTTACTTAACTAGAACAATATCATTAATAAATTTACAAGTAATTTGCTTACAATAAAACTAATGCTAAACTTGAAGAAGAGAGAAAGAGTTATAAATACTTATTACATAATCTAGCAAATTTTGATACGTTATCCGTATGGAAAATGTCGACGTCCCGTTGGTGGTTATGTCGTTATACGTTTGCATTAACCTATTTATTGGGGCTCGTTTACCTAAATTTGTTCTCTGGTTGGGTAAACAGAAGATTTTGGTAATCGGATGTCTTGGAATAGATCTTGGAACTCTGATACTTATTTGATTTAACAGTACCGGTGATAGTATGAGGCCGTGAATTAGCTTATAAAGTGTTTTAAGATCGCTAAGTCGACGTCTTTTTTCGAGAGACTCTAATTTGAAGTGGGATAGCCTAGTATTATAGTCAGCATGGTAAGAATAAGTTTGATCTTTAAAGGCTAAGTAGCGGGTAAAATTGCGCTGGATACGCTCTATTCGGTCACTGTGAATTTGGTATAATGGGTTCCAAACAGGTGATGCATATTCAAGTGTACTACAAATAAGAGCTTTGTATATAGTGAGAATAGATATAGGGTTCCGCAAATCCTTACATATTCGCTTTACGAATCCTGCCATCTTCCATGCTTTGGATGCAATATTATCAATATGGATGTTGAAATTTAATTTTTTATCTATCATTACGCCAAGGTCACGGATTACTTCGGATTCTGTTAATTTTTCTCCGTCTACAAAATAACTGGAGCGAATAGTGTTTCTCCTTCTGGTAATTTTTATAGACAGACATTTCTTAGGATTTAGTAGCATTTTGTTACTTTTGCACCAATCAGAGATAGAGGTGAGATCTGTCTGTAATCTAACTACATCATCTGGAGACTCTATAACCTTATACAATTTTAAGTCATCTGCAAATATTGAGTAATTACTAAAGGCAATGTGAGCAGAAATGTCATTTATAAATACCAAAAAGAGAACAGGGCCGATATGCGACTCCTGTGGAACGCCTGAAGTTGGAAAAAACTAAAAAGACTTGAAACCATGTATTGTTACTTTTTGAATTCGATTAAATAAGTAGGATTTTATCCAATTCAACAGGTTTCCGTGAATACCATAATAATTTAATTTGGACAAAAGAATGGCGTGGTTAACTTTATCGAACGCGCTACTAAAATCGGTGTTTAGATCAACTTTTTAAAGCGCAGTTCGAGGTGTATTCTAGTAGGTTACTAACTGTAGACTTATTTGCGCAAAAACCATGCTGACAATTAGAAATTACCTTTGATAAATGAGAAGACAAAATGGGGCAGAGAATTTTTTCTAAAAGTTTAGCAAACAAGCTTAATAAAGAAATAGGATGGTAGTTTTCAATATTGCTTTTGTCACCTTTTTTGTAGATGGGTATCATATTGGAAACTTTCCACTCGTCAGGAAATTTTGCAGTTTTAATTGATTTATCGAAAAGCAATTTAAGTGGGAGAGTTAAATATTTATAAGTTTTTTTTTAATAAAGTAGCGTGGGATGCCGTCCGGTCCAGCACCTTTATTAGAGTCAATTGACTTTAATACTTTCTCGATGTCTCGCTCTGTAATTTCAACATTGCTTAGAATTAATTGTGGATAGCAATCTCCGAGATCCGATTGCGTTGAATTGTCAGGGGGAGAATAAATCGAAGAAAAACGTGTTGCAAAAAGATTACAAATTTCCTCACTACCACGCGCAACCTTGTCGTCCAAATACATCTCAGACGGTAAATTGGAAAGACCTCCACGTAAGGATTTGACATATGACCAGAATTTTTTTGGGTTTTAAGGAGAGCATATTCAGTGTTTTTTAAATATGTATTGTAGCAAGATGACATTAATGACTCTACACGTTTATTAGATAAGATAAGTTATCATCCGTCATTCAGTTCATCAGTCCGTCTATCAAGTTTTATGAGTGTTTTAAATTTTATCGACTTGGTACCTCGTGGTTTTTGTCCAGCCGTGGACTATTTATGAGTCGATAACAATCCAACACATAAACGATTATGTATTATTTTTTATCGTCATTACTAAATAAAACTTTCGAATCTATTTATCACCTTAATATTTAGTGCCCAGAATAAAATTCTACAATATGTATATATAGTAGATTGGAGACCCTTTTTACTGAAACGAGACATTCTATCTTAATCCTCACGGGTTACAACGCATCTGCAATTTGATAGTTAATCAAAGATAGATGTAGATATCTATGGACCACAGCATCAACTTACGATCAGGTGCACAATATGCTCATTTTCCACACATCTATAAAAGAAACACGTAGGCAAAATCACGTTACGTACCTACCTATTAAAGCAAGGCAGAAAATATGTTATACATAATAAGAAAACCTTTAGTGTAACAAAATCTAACGATAAGTGCCAAAAGTTGATAACCTAGTTACAGGAAATTATTTTCTTATCGATAGTTGGTGTCCATTATCGAAATAGTCTACGACTACAGAAATAGGGTTTACGAGACTGCGAAATAAAAGACTTCAGTAAAAGCTAAACACATTAATATACACGAAAAAAGCTGAACTAGAAAGTTGACACTAGCATTTTAAAGAAAAAGTAAACTGACGCTAAGAAAGTCCACGAAACATTCGTAGTATTGAGACCTACAAGCTAGCAGGCATCTTCGTCGCACCGTCAGTTTAAGTCAGGTAAAGCCTTCCAGCAATGGATAATATCAAGATGAAGAAATAAAAAGAGAAACGGATGCAGATCGTTCTGGTCATCCTTCCTTCTTCTTCATCCTCTACATCGAGGCAATAATTAACATATTAATCAATAAATAATTCAAAACAGCAAAGTTGCCTGAAACTAAAATATGGACCGGAAATGTCGTAGGTTCAAAGCTTAGAAATCTATTCTCGGAGTTTCCTCTAGTTTGAGACAACCCGAAAGACCGACATGGGCCGGTCAAATAGCACAACAAACCGATAACCGATGGGGAAGATAGGTTCTCAATTTCCAATCTCGTAAATGAAGTGCAGGGAGGCCCCACTAGATGAATGACGACCTGGTAGGAGATGCAGATGGATACAGGTCGGTCGGGACCGTGCTTTTTGTCATTACTGACAGGAAGCCTATGTTCAGCGGTGGTGAAGGTCTAAAATACTGATGATAATGATGATGATTATGAGCGCATCGCTTACCAATACTTGTGGTACATTTTAAGTATACGAAGAGTGTTAGTTTTGTTAATAATATTTAAATATAATATAAAATAATATACCTATAGCTTAACATATGTATATATATATATGAAAGTCGCACACACGTCCATTTTATTGTATATATATATGCAATAAAATGGGCGTGTGTGCGACTTTCAGGTCAGCCCTTTAAATCAACGTTTTAGCTAATGTCTTTAGTTCTAAGCTTAAGCACAGATTCACTTATAGTTACTATTAACTTCTAATTGTCACTGAAAAGCTCACAAGATATACATACATATTACATGTTGCTATACATATGTAATATACTTTGTTTATAACGTCAGCAAACATAACACAAATATTTTTTACTGACTATCCTTAAAAGTGACAACGCATCTTTGTTTCGATTCTTGATCAAGGATAAACGTAGATGTCTATGGGCCATAGCATTCACACCATCAGGTAGACTATGTACTTTTATTCTATAGAAAAGGCAAGCGACTGCAACGGTCACGTATTTTATTTACAATAAATTTCTAGGGATAATATTCGAGTATAACTTACCTCAGGACCAACTCTAAAATGTCTTCCTGGTCGAAGACCTTGCAATACAGATGCAGGATCTTTAGACAGGTGTAGCGTAGACCTGTCCAGGTGATGTCAGCCGACTTCAGAGCTTCATCCCAGGGGCAGTTCTCGTGTCGCGACAGGCACAACATGCCGTCGAGCGCGGTCTCCGTTGGAGGCATTTAATGAAACTTCTGTTTTACTTTTAGATTACAGTCTTTTGACATTACCTACGTTATCTGGTTCATGGAGGAAGGCGAGGTTAGATAAAGGTTTTTTTAAACTTAGCACTTGCCTTTTAGCAATATAATAGAAAATATATATAATATAATAGAAAATATAATTAAAATAGAAGCGACAGTAGCCTAATGGCAGGGAAAAGGTCGTGGGTTCGAATCCGCCATTTGGCTACTGTAGTGAACCACTATTAAGGAGGTACCCTGACCAAAACCTGGCAAACGTGCGTTTTTCAGAGACTATTATCTCATTAGTTATGAGAAATAAGCTACATCTAAAAGCACATTATAAATGTTCGATATCCTATCATCACATTCCACGTTCTAATTTGTTTTTATGTGTTATGAATACATTTAAAATCTACTTTTAAAAAATGACTAAAATTATTGATTACATGCGTCTGTTGCTAAAGGAAATGCTCTAATCATTTGAGAATTACACTAATGGATAGATAATTTAAAAATCTATATTCTACACGTTTTATTTAATTTCTTAAGTTCGCTTATCTCTTTTAATTGAAATAATTCCAAATATTCGGGCGTATTTTTCCGTGATATATTGTAGCGAGAGCGCGTGGATTGTATGGGACCGAACGCTCAAGGTCTCTCGCTAGGGGAACCGTCTTAACACAAGCGTTTCAAGCTTACCAGGAATTGTTAAAAGGAATATTAGTAATGTTAATTAAAAAGATTACTAATATTTTAACGAAAAAATAATAATAATATTATAGTCGTTCCTTTGACTTTTGACTCTTATTGACAATTAAAACTACGTTTAGGACTATAACATTTTAAAATTTGTAGACAAAATTTTTTTTTTTAAAACTCCCGGAACAAAAAAAGTTGATGATCTTCAAACGGCTGAACCGAGTTTGATAAAACATGTATAAGAACCACCGCTAGAAAACCTGATTTTAAATTTAAAAATAAAACCGCGCCCAAATCGGTTCACCGTTTAAGAGCTACGGTACCACAGTCAGACAAACACACATAGCGGTCAAACCGATGCATCCCTCGCAATGAGCGAGTTTCTTTCCCATAAAAAATTATTTTTTGACTATAATTACGTGATAAATTTAATGTCATTTATTGCCATTAGACAAATAAAAGAAAGAAAAATAAGAGATCCTAGACAACGAATAATTGGTACAGTCGAAAAATTATACCGCGAAGAAGTTACATTAGGCAACGAATGCATATCTTATGGACCCCACACACGGTAAGTTCAACTGATCATTCCAATTGATCAGTTCAAACTAAAACTGTTGAAAGTTGTTGAATTTTCGGTATATCGATATTTATTGATATATCAATTTCGGAGTTTTATATACAAGTTTATTTATCGCTATATCGAAAATCCGATATTTTAAAAATATCAACAGTTTTAGTTTGAACTGATCAGTTGGAATGATAAGTTGAACTGACCGTCTGTGGCGAACCATTAAATAGTCTATCTATCTACTAAGCACTAGCACTACATACATAAGCTGTTGCGGTTGCCTCGGCCGTCGGATTTGTTTATTAAGTTATAAAGACAATCGAGCGCGCAATTTATAAACAGAAGGTATTTTGACAATTATTCGGAGGTTAGTTTCATTTGATAGATGATTCAACTCTCTAGTAGATATGGCTTTCATACAATTGGACTCAAGAAAACAGCCTCGCTATTGACCGGAATTCTTAGGACCAGAGATGGCGATGGTCATGCAGAGGACAAAATCCCTATTAGTATTTTTTTATTGAATAAGGGTAACAAAAGAGCGCACAGTCCACCAGATGGTAAGTGGAAGCTACTATACCCATAGAATCTACTTTTATCCACGGCTCGATTGGGGAAGAACCTCGCTCTCACAGAATACCAGCGTGAAATAGTAGCTCAACGCTGCTGTGTTTCGTATGGTGAGTGTAGAGAACTGGTGACCCTTTTTACTGGAAATGAAGCATTTAATCTTAGTTCTCATGGGTCACATCTGCATTATGATTCGTAATCGAGCATATATGTAAATGTCTATGGGCCACAGAAAACACTTATCATCAGGTGGACTGATTGCACGTGTGTGACCTTAGGCTACAAAATAATCGATGCGACCGGAGAAAGATCAGGCGCAGGACCAATGACTTTACGTGTTTTGCGAGGGGAAGATTAACTAACACGTGAAGTGGCGGTGTAAGAATGTCCTCTACCCAAATATCTTTCCATGGGTGTCGTCGCGACATAGAGGAAAGAACCAGAAGTTGGCAGCAGCGGTTTCTATATTATTACAACTGAAGGGAAATATAATGTCAAATGGCTCAGCAAGATCCTTCGTTATGCCGAAAATATTGCAGCATTAATTTTGAAATAAATATATGGTAAAGTTGAGGATTAGTGTTAAGGATTATGTTAGACGAAAACACGATTTCGTAAAATTTTCTCGATAGAAAAAAAATCCAAAGTTACCTCCAAAATAAACAATAAACCGCTGTTATTCATAAAATACTTTAAATAAGATCATGAAACTTTGCATACTAATTGAACTAACTATAAAGCAGTGCTTATGTTATTTACTTTTTTAAAATACCATTATTTTCACTGTAAAAAGAAATTACCTAAACTATCGGCGTCTTGAGCATGATTCCAGTCGCCCCGTTAGTATCGCTTAGGCTTTTGAAGGGAGAAGTTGTGTCGCTTACGATCAGAATATACATTACGCAACAGTACGACGTAAAATTAAAATGGAAAATAACCGTGATAAAAATAAGAAGCGGCTGGCTTGGCGTTAAGAAACAGGCATAAATATGATAAACCTAATGAAATAAGTGTCTAACGACCTTTCTACTTACAGTATTAGTGATTACAAACATATCGGTACATAGCATACGACGCGCGGGGAAGTGGGGGCGAAATTAGAATTTGAGCTGACTTACTCTATCCTCTTAAAAAGATAAAAATTGTGAATGTCAACCCGCGTGTCAGGTGTGGCAACTATGGAAAATGCTAAATAAAAAATAGCCTTAGTGTACCCGATTCCTAAAAAAGGCGACCGTTCAGATCCGTCTAACTACAGGTCTATCGCTGTCACCTCCTTGTTCTCCAAAATAATCGAATCCATTATAAACTTGTAGCGCATGAGGTACCTTGAGGATCACCAGCTGATTAGTGACCGCCAGTACGGTTTCCGTCGTGGCGGCTTAGCCGGAGATCTTCTGGGTTACATAACTCATAGATGAGTGGAGGCAGTAGAGTCTAAGAGAGAGGCGTTGGCCGTTAGTTTGGACATAGCGAAGGCCTTCGAACGAATTTGGTACAAAGTGCTTCTTACGAAGGTTCCTTCCTATGGGCTTTCCGAGAAATTGTGCAATTGAATCACCAGTTTTCTAGCAGATCTGAGCATCAAGGTTTTAGTAAACAGTGCGTGCTCCGATTACAAGCCCACTAACGCTGGTGTCCCACAAGGCTGCGTGCTATCACCAACGCTGTTTCTTCTGCACATCAATGATATGAAGCAACCTATGGGTGTTCAGGCTGTTTCGGTATAACGGTAGGTGATCAACTACATTTGTAAGTTCGCGCCAGTGGTTAAGTATTGTCCTTGCTAATTGCATGTCTGTCAAGTGCAGTGCACCATTACGATAAGTGAATATCTCTTAATAATCTTACTTAGTAACCGTCTCTTCCTTCCACTTGAAAAAAAAAATACAAATAAAACGACATAAGCATCAACGTAAGTGCCAATTATATATTATTACTGCTAATTACACTTGCTTGTACACCTTCATGCGACTTAAGTCAAAGCTTTTTACCGACTTCAAAAACGAGGAGGTATTCAATTCGATTGTATGTTTATTTTATGTGTGTTAACATTAGAACTTTTCGCTGAGTTAACTGATTTTGATGATTCTTTTTTATCTCAAAGCTGGTACTTCTCGTGTGGTTCCATATAAATTTAATCGAGATATGACTAATAGTTTTTGAGTTATTCTTAATAATACGTATTTAATATACTGTTGTTCTCATTTTAATAATATTGAAGTCGGTTGCACAACATTTTTAACTTTACCACTTGTTGTGCTTATATAAAAGTAAAGTCGTTTTCTTCCTTCAGATGATAGTACTTTTAAATTACGCAATTAAAGAGAGTTAAAAGGAATATTGAGATATCATATGCCTAATGGTATAGGCGAGATGTCTTAGATTTGAACCCACCACTCTACTACCACTGTGTACCATTTGTAGCACATTTATTAAAGCTTAAAGTTAAAGTCTATATATACGCCACACCGTTAGGCACAGGGCTACAAAACTGTTAGGATAAGATAACCGCGCTGTTCCAATGTGTGACAGATTTCACATGTCCACGATGTCACGTTACTTTCCTGCACCGACAAGAATGTGATATATGTAATATATATGATATATGTAATAGCATTTAACAATTTCATTGTTGTCGGCGAGGATTTCACTAGCTTTATAAAAAAGATTCCAGCTTATGGACGTTCAAATTAAGACTCCTGCAGAGATGATTTTGAAAGAATGGTTGCTACGTAATCAAGATTCAATCAATAGCTTCCAACTAGTCTTTCAATATATGCCTCTTTTGGTGATAGCTAGGCTCCGATTACCACTTCATCAGGTGAGCTCGTTATTACACAGAATTAATAATATGCCAGTACAGATTTAAAACATCTATATCTAAGAATACAGGTTACAGTAGTATTGGCAGCTTATTGCTAATCAGAAGTTCAGAGGCAAAAACCAAATGTCACCGTTACCGTTATAACCTATATAAGTCCACCGCTGAACAGGTCTCCCCCATAGATTGATCCATAAGGGGGAAAAACCAAGTAGAGTACCTCTCATAGTCCGATGGGACGGCTTGACCGGGGAAAGAACCACGCTCTCACAGAATACCAGCGTAGAATAGCAGCTTAAGACTGCTGTGTATCGTATGGTGGGTGTAGAAATC